TTTACGCTCGCTCTTTCTTACTCTCTCTCCCCCCTCTCGCGCACGAGTTTCGCGCACTTCCCCTGTCTATGAGATAAGGATGCTAGCTGGCTTCCTACCTCTTCCGCTAGATGCTTCAGCTTCTGCAGCAACCCCGTCGTTGCCTTCAGCTTCTCCCGCAGGTTGGTTTTCGTCGTCAGCGCCTTCATCGTTCTCGCCATGACGCCGACGTGTTCCTGTAGTGAGAAGACAAAAACAGCGAAGTCATGACAACAGTACAGAGCTCATGTCCATAAAGATTCAACAAGGACAGGCAACCGAGAAGTTGCTTAGGTTAAGGGACCCGCTGGGGTTCTATTAAATCGATGTGAAATGACGATTTATTATCATAATTATTATAATTATTTTATTTTTGATGGATTATTAATAGTCATAATTTATATTAATTATTGTATTTATTATAAATACTAATTATTTTATTTTTATTATTGATTATTGATATATTATATGTTATAGTTGTTTGTGTCGTATTTAATATATTAATAAATTATTTTTTAAATATTATCCATCTAAAAAGATTATGCACGGTAACTTATGCATAATTAGCGCATTTATATTAATTAATGCAGAATTAGCGCAGTTAGAGATTATCGTTATGTAAACATCGGTGCGGTGACATGACGCTCACGATTTCTCTCTGGCACAGCCGCTGTCTCTCCTTGTCCAGCTTTGTCTTTCCGGAGCCGCCTGTGCTGTTGCTGTTACTCAGCGAGCAATACCTCCTGTAACACGTCATCAACACGTCATCAACACGTCATCAACACGTCATCAACACGTCATCAACACGTCATCAACACGTCGTCAACACGTCGTCAACACGTCGTCAACACGTCATCAACACGTCATCAACTCCTCATCAACACGTCATCAGCGGAAACTTCCCGGGAGCGTGGAAAGAACTGTCGCAAAATACGAATCCGGATCTTGTATGTTTTGTAGTCATCGCGGCTCTATCAGGTAAGTAGTTGTATTGTTTTGAGTTTAAGTCTCGGTCACACGTTGTTCATATTACATGCAGAGGTATTTAGTCATCGCGCTATATCAGGTAACTAGTTGTATTTTGAGTCTCGTTCACACGTTGTTCATATTACATGCAGAGGTATTTAGTCATCGCGCTATATCAGGTAACTAGTTGTATTTTGAGTCTCGTTCACACGTTGTTTATGTCACATGTAGAGGTTTTTGGTCACCGTGCCATAAATAAGCCATAATACCAGCTAATTAACCAGTATCGTGAGAGAGTAATCACTTATTAGCTCTAGAGTACTACGCCAAGTAGACCCGTTTGCTGTTACTG